GTTTAAATAATTTCAAATTAGTAAAAAACATGCTGTTTTAAAATATACGCTAAATATGAGCTTTAGTCATTTGGTCATGAATTGCTTACATTTCTGTTATCTTAATTTATCTCAACATTTTGAACTTTGTCCCCATACTTAATTTATGCTGATGCGTCGATTTGATGCGTATACATGCGCTCAAGACGCATAGTGAGTATAATGCAGTTAGTCGATGCGTTTCGTTGTTGCGATTCGTTTGGAAATTCGTCCATTGTATTTGTGATATTTTTTTTGATGCTTCACCCAAAAACCGCTAATCCGCCTAAGAACGTTGTTTATCTCCTAAGATACATCATGATCATCATTAAGCGCTTATCCTGTCAACTGGTGAGCAAAAGCCTCCCTTAGCTCTAGCTATTACTCTTTCTTTTTTGTGCCACCTGAATCTAATTTCTAGCCAAACTTTTTATATCATCTGTACATTGACTAGAAGGCGTCCTCTGCTATTATAGGCCTCACGTCTTGGTCTCCATTTCACAATTATTTCCACATTTCTTTGTGATGTGGTGTTTCTTTGTTCATCGTCCACCTGTCATCCTAGCCACATATTTTGCCCAGTTTCATTTAAGATGTAAGATAAATATCAACGTATCTCTTACTCCTGTTCGATTTCTTAGGGTATAATTGGTTTGGTATTAATTGGTATTTAACCCTAAGAATAACTCCGAACATGAACCTTTCTATTCCGTTGCATGACATGTATTCTGTTTATGTCCTTTTTTGTCAAAGTAAGTGTCTCATCTCCACACGTGAGGATAGATAAGACACACTAAAGGGTTTAAAACCACTTTAAGAATTAAATGCCCTTCTTTTTAAGCATTTTTTTATATAGGATCAGATCTTAGTATATGCTTTAATTTAACAAATGCCGCCCAAGGTATTCTTCGTTGGATTTCGTGCATCTGATTATCCCTTCTTATACCGATCTCATATCCTAAGTATTTATATATGCACTTGTTCCAAAAATAGATTATTCATGTTTAAAGTGCCAAGCAGTGCTACGTTTGTTGATAAGTTCATCTTCAAACCATCATTTAGCATATCCAGCATCCAGCATACCTACTCTCTGCTTTCTGTATGTTGTCTGTTATTAAAGCAATATCATCTGCAAAACGGAGATGATTTACCAATTCGACAGCAGTGCTAATTACTCTTGAATCCCAGTTTATCATTTTCAACTTACTTTCTGTAGCACTGCAACGAATACTTTAGTGGAGAGTATGTCTCCTCTTGTTTTACTTCTCTTAAATTAATCTGTGCTTTGTCGATATTCTGATGTTTGCTGTTGAATTCTCATATGTCTGATGATTGCGGAGTATCTCGATGATGCGCCACTCACTAATATTTCTAGGAGTTTCCACTGGTTTACCCAATCGAAGGCGTTCTCAAATCGACGAAGACAAGCATTAGTGGTCTACTTAGTACCCAAGCTGATACGCCCATGTTTAAATTCAGATGCACCAAATCTTACCGTGGTAAATGATACCATACATCTTGAATTTGCAACTTTGGATAACTTACCTTTGAAAAATCTGGTGACTTATCGATACTCGATTATATTCATTTTCACAATAGTCCCTACTACAGTCAAGCTACTCTCAAACCACAACTATGTTAATCAAAAATGGCGCAAATCGTCGTCTTTGAAGAGATGCAGGAACAAAATGCGCAGATTTTTGTGTATAAATGTTTTTATGAGTCGAAAACTTTTCAAACTAATCTCGTACGAAGGACAAACTGGAATAAAATTTAAAAAATCTTGCAGGTTGCCAAATATATCAATTAAATTTAAAGACAATCTTGCAGGTTGCCAAATATATCAATTGTTTTAATATCATCAAAAAAATCTAATGAAGTAACACTTTGGCATATAACGTTTGCAATTTGCAATTTATCGGAACATAATTTTCTTGCAACTTCTATTAATGATACACTGATGTGATTGGCCGGGATTGGTTATTCTAGAATTATTATTTGGCGGTAAATTTGAATTGTCCGGAGGTGCCCCATGTCCGAACCTGCCCCCTTCTCCCCTACATATACCTTATTCTCAACTGTACATAAAAGTCGACGATATAACGCACGTCTATTGCGTCTCATATTATTATGTCCTCTCGAAGGCCAAGCATTTTTGCAAAGCAATTTCGAAATTCTCTTTTGTATTAGTCATCGGTAGAGTGCAAAGCAACATTCTCGATTTTTTCAAATACCTGAATGTCACATATTAATTAGCTAAACTAACGGTTGTAGTTTTTTATGATATTTACTGCTTTTCTATAACGAATTAATATAACTGTAGGTTTTAGATGGTTTCTTTTAACAACAAATTTATAATACTAGGTTGTGCATGTATTTCAGTTATTAATTAATAAAATTTATTAGTAATATAATGGATGCCTTTCTTTGGTAAGCGCGATGAGCACATTATGGCATCATTCTTCCTTTTATTTATACACATAGAATTTTTTACATTATTAAAACATTAAAGTTATTAATTTACAAAACGTTAAAAGTTGACTCCTTGATTTTTCTTGAAAAAAAATACAGAATTCTTTTTACATATCTTTGTGATTTTTTTAGAGATCTGAACTCAACTTAACTAGGACTGGAATGAAACAGTTCTGAACTAAATTATTTTTATTCTAGTTAACGGGGGAGTTATATTGTGTATTTATAATTTCATTAGGATTATTTTACCTTATATCTACTTTTTTCTATATTTCCTTATAAAGGATTGTTAATCCGGATTGCTTTCCTGTGAAAAAGAAATACTCTTTTAGTATAACTTTTATAGTGAAAAAGGTTATTTTCTACTATATTCTTAATTATAATTAAGTATCACTAAAAATCCGTAATTCAGAAAAGGATCAAATGCCGAAGAAAAAACACTTAAAGCTAAATATAAGCCAAAAAGATAGGTGCAAAAAGATAAGATTCGCAAGTTAAACAGAAACTGCATAAAGTACCTATAGGCCTCCTCACGCTTAGAGATAGTGCCCCTATCCACTAAGATATCCTCTGAAATTAATATTACCCTAACTAGAGGCGGCAGATGTCGCAATTGCGAAAATGCAGCGGATAAGAGGATCTATTTTTGAATAATCCGTGAAGAATAAAGAAATTTTGAAGAATAACCCTAGCAAATGACTCGATGTTACATCTTCATCTAGCTCAACAAACAAAATACCATTATTAATAAAAAATGTTAAAATAAACTCATTGATATACTCTTCGAAGTAAACAATCATAGTTTGGTGTCTTTTGTCTTTACAAAATATATCGTCCATCGTGAAATTCTTAAGACTTGTTGTAGACAACTGGTTAAAATGGGACTTGCACATCGAAGCTTTATCAAAGAAACTAAGCGCTGCCTGTTTCTAAGGAACTTAACTTATCAACCTTTAGAATAATCTATTATGCCCTTTTTGAATCACATCTTCGTTATGCTCTTCTATTCTGGGGTACTTGCCCAACAAAATTTGATCGTATTTTCAAACTTCAAAAGAGAGCAGTTCGATATTTATTGGGACTGTTCAGTATTTTGAAATTTTTAAAGAGACATTCCCATCTCAAAACTATCCACCTAATAACTATCCACCAACCTAGTTAAAGGCTCAATACTGTACAATGCCAAAAAATGTAAAATCATCTGCCTTTGAATATCAAGTCGCTTTCCTTTCCCGCATTTCGCAAAGCTCGTAAAGCATACTTACTGGAGAGAGTCCTATATGCGGTAAACGACTTTTTTTGTTTTGAAATTTTTAAAAAAATTCTGGCAGTGAGTTCTACTGTTAAGTCCCAATAAATATCGGAATGCTCTCTTTTTTGAAGTTTGAAAATACGAACAAATTTTGTTGAGCAGCAAGTACCCCAGAATAGAAGGGCATAACGAATATCTGACTCAAAAAGGGCAGAATAGACTATAATCATGAACAATTTTGAATTTTAAAATTTTGATCATCTCACACTAGTTAAAAATCTAGTATTTAATATTTTATAACTTTTAAATGATTATATCAATTTACAGTTCTCCTATTGCAAAATTTTATTGATACGCCTTTTTTGTGTTCTGCAATGTTCTATTTGTAGTTTTAATGACGTATTTTTTTTTTTTGAATTGTATGATATTTTTTATTATTTTTATATTTTTGTGCTTTTGTTTGTTTTTTAAATGCTTTGTCGATGATATTTTGGCTTTTTGTACAATAAAGCGTTATTTATTTATCATATATTCGGTTAGAGTTCAGATTGAAGATCTGGTCTGTGTTTTCTAAATAAAATAACAATGGTTTTCTACTTTGTCGCTGAATTGATGTTAAAGTCTGAAAAAGTAGGCTATTTTAAATAGTAAAAACGTGAAATGATAAAATGTAAAGACATTTTAAATAAATTAATCTCCTGATCTCCCTAAAGCTAAAATCGATGCATCTGAACTTTTCATTATTCATTTATTGAAATTACTGTATCTATAAGGATAAAAGAAATATCATCAGTAGTACTCTCTACCCTAATGGAAACCATAACAGCCTTTCAGGGCTGATTTTACATTATCGGCATTCGTTTTGGCATTAAAATGTGTGTAAAAGTACCAAATTTCAAGAAAAACGGTTTACCAATGTTCTTAAAAATAAACAAAATATATTATTTTTATTTAACTTTTCGAGAGCTGCAATTTCTTCCGGAAGCATTTTAGGGCATACGTTCATAGGATTTTTTGATTTATTTTTATCTGTAGAATTACCCACCGAAGTTAGATACACTTTTTGTTGACACCCTGTATATTATGTCCCAATTTCAGAAATATTTCAGTTTCTTGTTCAAATTATAATTAAACAATCAGTTGTTGATTTACTTACATTGCCATAGATACCCTTCTTCCGAATTATAAACAATGACTTTTTTAATTTTATTTGATTTTATTTTATATAAATAACTAATACAGTTCATCCTTATTTCAGATATATCAACATGAGGTCGTAATTTTTATGTACGGAGTGTATATTGAATCGGATTATTCGTAAAACATAATGGAGTGGAATCCCGGAGATTTGATTTGGTTCGATCCAGGCTTGGGTCACTCGATTCCTGGAGAAGTTCAAGAATGCCATAAAAGTGCCAATGTTATTACAGTTCAAGCTGTTATTAGTGGAAAGGTAAGAATTTTGATATATTATTATACAGTATGTCCTCGGATTTTCTTTACAAGAGCAAAAACTTTTTTTTTATTTACATTTTCAGAAAAGTGCATTCTTTATAAAAAAAAGTGCTTGTTCTAAAATGATATTTACCCTTTTATACTTTTCCAAATTTCCATACTGTTTTAGAGTAAATAAAACATGAAAATATGGTAGAATTTCTAAAAATCAAAAGGCGTTTCTAGGTGGATTATCAACTCCATTGTGAAAGTATCACATTTTCCGATAACTATTATCACCCTTTCCGTAGCATTGAACTAAATAAATTTTTTGCTTCTTTAACAATTTAAAAGAGCAAAAAATATGACGCATAGACTAATGTCATGTACTAGAGATAGATTGGACACTGATATAAAACAAATGGATCCGTCTTTTAGAGCCACCTGGTGATCCGGAAGAAACTAATGGAGAGTTTTGGCATAACATAATTTTAGCGTTCCGTTACTTATTAACGCTAACTAAAACTGTAACGTTATTCAAGCTCAAAATTACTAAAAGTAAAATATAAAATAATAAATATAGACTTTTTTGTTGCCCCCATTTTATGTTTTATTAGATCATTAGAAGTGTAACATAATTAAAACAAAATTAAAATATATACATACTTTTTAAACACCAACAATAGAGCATATAGCGCCTATTTTTTGATTTAACAAATAAATTATATAGCAAAAATATTATAGACTACTAATTAACTGTTACAAAAAATACTATATATTACCAACTATGTACTTACTTATTTATGATTAAACTATTTTTTTTATTTGGTTCATAAATTTATACTTTTTAAAATGTCAGAATGACTTTAATAAAAAAGTTTAGTATCTAACACGAAAATGATGATCGACTCTAAATATCAGAATGCACAAACTAATAAAAACACAAACTATAAACACAAATCACTGAAATCACCGAACTTTCCGATAAATCAGGAATATCTGAATTAATGATTATTTAAATAATAATCAAAATAATGATTTGAAAGTAACTTGACGGATCACCAACATTTTGTCAAAATCTCAACATGATGTCAATGTGTCAATTAGACAAAAACTAGACCACAGACAATAGTCGACATAGGGACTGTCATGTCACCTTCATATATAAATTAGAAACCTGTACTTTAATGTCTTTTGCGCCATCTGGCGATGCGGAAGAAACTAAATTTGGAGTTCTATAAAATTACCATCGAGTGTCTAGGGCATGATATGACGTTAATTAAAATTTTATCAATAACAATTTATCAAAGAATGAAAACGAAATTATATTTCCATAGAAACGCGATTTTATTTTTCGGACTTGAAAAATTCAAGTCTAAGAAATTTTGATATTTGAAATGTGAAAATCTCCCGTCTAAAGAAATAACATATCATAAGCTTTGTTCCAACCAGCATTTCGGGATCGTTTCGAAATCGTACTCGAATCGGTTTTCTTGCACTTTGTTAGCATGCGCGGACTTCTAATAGTTTCGTGATGGTGCAAAAAGTATCAACGTTGGAACGCTTTGTGGATTGTTTTCGGGACTGACAAAAGTGTCAAGCGTGCGTGTATCGATCTGTTTTTTGTTTTTGTTCGAGGAAATAAGAAAATACGATTAAAGCTTACCTAAATATTCTTCATTTTTTACCCTTTCACTAGGCAGCAACTCCAAATTATCACTATCTGAAGTGGAGGTAAAGAAATCAGTCAGACCATCATTCCTAATCCTTAATTATTATCTATTCTATAGATAATTATGAAAGTGTACAATTTAAAATTTTCGAACGATTTACTCCACACAAACTCTCAAGCAAAAGTATAACGCACACGTATTCGAATTCGTAAAAAATAACCAAGACAGAAGCATCAGCCGGACGCCGGACCAGAATCAGCTGTTAAAATTCTGTAATCCCTGCCAATATGCTTTAATGCGCAAGTCAACCCAAACAGTTCTCAATTTCGATCATGTACCGAAATTACCGTTCTGAAATCGTAATTAAACGATCCCAAGGTAGGTTGGTACGCAAATAGGATCGTCCGATAACCGTCAAATCTCGGTTGGAACACATTTGAATTACTGCGCACGAGCGTGATCGTTCGGTGACAGTTCTGCGACGGGTTGGAACAAACCTATAAATTTTTTTTTGTTCATAAATAAAATAAAAGCATGCTGAATAATTGGTTTGCAAAGATTTCTAATACTCTAATATTTTTCTTTTACATTTAGTATATTTATGCATCTTGTTATATTAAAAATAAAAGTAAATCCAAATAATTTGCATAAATTAGCTTCTATGCTCTAATCATTCGTACTTATAATGATTAAAAGAACGTTTTATTATCAAATATAAAATTAAAGATTTTTAGTCACATTCTCCTAATCTGAATATATTAAAATGATTAATTATACCGTCAGATATATTAACTATATTTGATCATTTAATATAATTCGCAAGGACAAGTTACATGATTTTCCTTCATAATATGAACTTAACAAAAGACAAGTTCTTAGAAAACATTAACACGAACATCATAAAAATGCTATATTTTGAACAATGACTCCCTTGTCGATTGGTAAAGAACTAGTTAAGAAATAATAAACTAGTACTTACCATTGTTAAAAACTGGGTAAAGAGTATGTATTGAATGAAGTGTTAACAATATTTATTCTTGTGTGAAAATTAACAAATAAATGTAATAAGACAATGTGTGATGATGCAATTCTGTTGTTGAATCAGAATTTATTATGGTGATTTGTGATTGAATATGTCATTACATATTATTAATTGTGGGTATAGGTATATCATTAATGAGATAAGAATTTATTTTTATACATTCCGAAATATTTTTTATACATTCGTACAATTCACAATAATTAAGAATAATGATAAATTATTTCTTATACAGGGTGAGCCTTGAATAAGTTCAAATATTTTTAGGGGTAGTATGGTAGTATTTAGACCCTAGAAACACCTATATAGGTAAGGTTTTTTCGCGAAAAAAAAAATTGAAAACTTATTTGGGAATTTTCTTAATGATTAGTTAAAAAATCTTTATAATATGGTAACATAGGTAATAACACCGCGGTAGTGCCATTCACCAGAAAGCGAAGTTTGAAAAACTTGAAAAGAATGCATCTAGATGGAAAGGAAATACTGCCATCACGGGAAGTGATCTAGGAATAACCCTGGATAGTAAACTTCTCTGGAACAGGCATATTAAGAACATTACCAGTAAAGCCACAAAGGCTCTCATGATATGCAGAAGACTGGCGGGAAATAGGTGGGGCTGCGCCCCTAAAATTTTGCGCTGGATGTATACCATGATAGTAAGACCCATGATTACATATGGAGCAGTTGTTTGGTATACAAAACTAGAGAAACGTACAGCAAGGCGGCAAAACCTGTGCAAAGTACAAAGACTGGCATGTATCTGTATCACAGGTGCCATGAGAACATGTCCAACAGCAGCAATGGAGGTCATTTTAGACCTAACACCACTGCATATTGTCGTCGGTAGTTATGCCAATGCGAGAATGATTAGAATGGTCATTGACGGAAACAGTACTGGGAGAATTTTTAGGTCAGGGGCTTGGAACACCCCCAGAAAAGAAAATTCCACTTCTCCAACTCCCAGTGGATGACATACCAAGAATTTACAACTTTGAGAAACACCTCACTTTAGTATTGAGTAATAAAAAGGATTGGAAGGAAGAAACGTTTACTCAGCATATAAAAGACCATACCATAACGTGGTATACTGATGCTTCCAAAACCAAAGCAGGGACAGGGATAGGAGTATTTGGGCCGAAAACCCAATACTCCGAACCAATGGGCACCTACCCCAGTATCCTTCAGGCAGAAATTTACGCTATCGAAAGATGTGTACAATTTATCTTAGATAGGAACTATCGAAAACAGGAAATTGCCATCCTATCCGATAGTCAAGCAGCATTAAACGCGATCAACTCAGTAACCATCAATTCGAAGTTGGTCAAAGAATGCCTAGAGAAGCTCAACAAGTTGGGCAAAGAAAATAAAGTCCTCCTACTCTGGGTTCCTGCTCACCAAGGGATAGAAGGCAATGAAAAAGCAAATGATCTAGCTAGGAAAGGAGCGAACACTCCACTAACTGGACCAGAAGGTTTTCCTTGATTTAAGTAAAAACAATCTTTGGATTGTCACGGTGTTTCTAACAGAACAGTGTCTCCTCAACGAACACCTCAGTAGGCTGAAGCTGAGAAACAACGGCGAATGCAGATTCTGTGGGGAATTTGGGGAAACACCAGAACACCTCATCACTGAGTGCGCCGAGACGACCACCATTCGTGCCATGAACTTTGGTACGGCTGATGTCAAGGATGGAGAGCTGGCCTCTGTGGAGCCGTCTCAGATACTGGCTTTTGTTAAAGCCTTGAGACTGTATGATGAGTTATAACTCGTTATAACTCAAGAAAGGGGAAAACACAATAGATCTGTAAGGTCGCAGTCACATTCTACAACATAGGTAATAGATTAAATTTACAAAAAGGAAATCCCAGGAAATATCAAGTTAATTTTTAAAATAAAATACCTCGGTTATTTTGGGCTTAATTGAAAAACGGTAAGGGAAAATATGTTTAAGACTCATGCTGCATAATATATGACCGGATATTTTTATCTCCATTTTTACCAGCTACCACTTTAATAGCGTGTTTGTTCTTCTGAGACCCTAGTTAAAGATGCATAGTACACATAATATAATATAAAATTTTTAAGCGTTTATTATAATATATATAGCACTGGTTATAAATTAAAAGAAAAATAAGCCTTTCTCTATTTAAACCCTGCATTAAGCTTGCATGTTTGTTATACTCTCCATCGTGTTAAATATTCACCCACTTGTTTTTCTGATAAAAACTTATCCTAGGACTGTTCTCTGCCACACTTGAATTATTTTGACGTTACTTTGACTGCCATATCTTAAATTCAGTCTGATTT